TGGTATTTAAAGATGGGGTATTATGCAACTATGTTATATTGTTCCCTCATCAAAAACATGACTGAAGAGGTTTTAGATTGCTCGCATCCAACAGAGCAGTGATTGAATCCTTCCCGAGCTGGATAGGCATTTTTATTTGTGGCCAAACCCGACCAAACCAGACACAATTAAAATCACACTATTTTCATAAGGATATTGTTTGTGTAGCCTCTAACAGACACAGTGACACAAAATACAAACTTGGGATAAAGCAAAAATAATAAGACTCTATTATTCACCTCTCGTAAAGTGGTAAATTTTAAGTGCAGCATCATCATCCACTTCATCCATAGAAATTGTCCTCCGCAAATAATGACACCCAGTCCACAAAACGGCACTATTCATTTAGTTTGAGGAGTTCTTTATAAGTAAAAAGGGGAGAGTAGTTCCTTATGTTTGTTTACATCCACACAGTGCACGGATAGAGGTGAAGCTGCAGATTTGTGATAGTGACCTGTGGGCTTTATCGCCAAACTTTATGCTTTAAAAATCATGTATCTGAAATACTGCACCACATTTTACAAATAATAATAACACAGTTTTGTCTTGTATCTGAACTAGAGGTGCAGTGCTCTGATCTTTTGGACACTTAAGAGTCTCAAAGCTAGTGGCTTTAGGGCCTGTTTACATGAGAATGCTTACGGGCATTTTGGGGGCTTAAAAACGCAAAAATCTGAAACCACCCTCCGGAGTGGAAAAGTTGAATACGCTCCACCGTAGTGTATTCAACCATACCATCTACACTGCCCAAGACGCAAAACTCCGGTCAGATCTGCTCACGTCGTGTGCACATTTACGTCACATAGCCTACATACAGTACACAGAAACCTGGCATGCATACCCAATCAAATTCCACACACTTTTGCGTCACCGTATGCAGGCAGATTTCTTCCCGAAATTGCTTGTCTAAACGTGGAATAAAAAGTGAAGTCTTTTGCGTCTTCTGTTCAGACCGTCATCATGTAAACGTAGCCTTACTGTAGACAGGAAACAGCTGACACGCTGCTGTGTCTGAGTCCAACCCAACCAATCCGAACATAAGGTCTAAATATTTGTCCAAACCTGTCGGACTTTGGTCAAGTTTCCATGATCTATTTTAGATGTCATCCGTGCATGTTTAAGTAATCTTGTGATCTCTCTTGGGCCCTATACGAATCCTCTTCATATTCCGTCCGATGCTCTGCCCACAAACCAACAATTCTCCATAAATATTTAAAAACACGCTACAAAACTGTACACAACAACTTGAAAAACCTTGATGTGATGTGCAGTAGTTTCATTGCGCGTTGATTATGTTGTGATGGCGTCCGGAAAGGGGAGCAACTTAACATGGAGAGCAAAGGGACGGGGGATTCAGAGCTGAAGGGGGAGCAGAGTGAGGGTGTCAAAAATTAAAGTGAAACTTATAAAACATATTAATACGTTGTTTTCGGCGAAGAGCATTTTCGGAAAAAAAAAAAAAAAAAAAAACTCTAAAATGTAACATGGTGATCTAAATATGTTTTGTTAGCAGTGTAATTATACCTCGTAAAAAAGGGTAGTAGGTTGTGGGTTAAACTCCTGATCACTCTGAGTGGAGTGTGCGTGTGAGAGAATGCAGTATTTGCATTGAATATAATGAGTGCTAATTAGACCTTAATAAGCGGCATGTTAGAACTGGATGACAAAGTAATGATTAACTGTAGTTTTGGGCTTGGTCAGATTTAAGTCCTGTTTAAACTTGTTAATCCTATAGAGTAAATCGTTACCATTTACTGTTACCTAGTTACGCTGAGTAAACATTTTTCTGTATTCCTTTAATAATAATTAAAGGCACTGTGTCTGATTTTACCGTCTTAAAACGTGAAAAACAGAACTAGCTCATTTGAAATAGTTTGCAGTGGTTCAAACTTATTCCTCATGTACCTTATTCACTCTGAACATCCTAATTATTCACCACGATGAGTTTATAAGTGGTTTTTGGAAATTTCAAAGACCACAGCGGACACTAGCATCCTAACAGCGCATCACCATTAATTCCTGGTTCTCACAGGATAAAAAGGCTTTACACTGTCTAATTTAGACCCTCAGAGCTGCTTTCATAATATATCTGTACTGGCACAAAACGAATATTTCTTTATTGCTTTCAAAAATGTGATTATATGCATAGACTGTATATATAAATGAACATAGCTAACGTTGCAAATAGGAAGTGAACATGGGCGTGCTTCCGGCTCCATCCACTTGATGCCAATTAACTTTATGTTCGAACATCGCCCCTCTCTCTGTAACTGCTGCTGTCATTCATTCAAAGAAATGAATCTGAACTGCTCAAAATCAAAAATACTAATTTCCAAATTCAAGACATTTGACCTTATATGCATTTTCTTTCTTTTTCTTTTAAATCTAGACTGGTACAACTAATAAAAAAACTGTAACTGCTGCTGTTAGGCTCGTCATGTGGGTCTTAAAATGTTCATATTAACCCACCTCTGCATGATGTTTTTATTTTGCTACTTTCGTAAATCAATTCCAATTCCTAATTTGGAACTTGGCTTCAAACTTGCTCCTAACTGCTAGCCTGGATTGGACTGGCTATGAGTGATGTCAGACTCCCGTAGTCCACTTCTTTATACAGTCTATAGTTGTGTCCTTTTAATAGCTTATAAATGACTAAACTTTGATGTGCCGATATGCAAAGTTAGCACACTGTTATTGGAAAGAAGAAGAAGGAAATACAAATATTTTTGGTTGACTTGAATTTGAATTTTAACAGTAGGGCTGGGGATCATTAAGAAGTTGTCAGTATGATACATATCTCGATACATAGGCCACAATATGATACGTTTTTCGATACAGTGCACTTTCAATCCAATACGATTCAATACGATATATTTCAGATTGATTCAATTCGGTTCCATGAAAAGCAAAGGCTAAATCATAAGCTGTGATACTAAAAGTCTACTAAGTCTGCAAAGTTAATATGAATAGCACCAATTTTACTCACCAAAACAGTGAAAATGTCAACACAACTGTAGCTGTTACACAAATTAATTTAGTAAAATACTCTTGGCAATATATCGATACAGCAGCCCATGATATCCATACTGTATCATCAAATTAAACGATAAGATATGATATATCGATATTTCAATATGTTTGCACACTCCTATTTAACAGTTTATTTCCAAATCACATGAGAACTTCCTGGAAAACTTTGGAATTTTTTTGTCCCAGGAAGTGAAAATGTTAGGACAAATTTTGTCACGCTCAAAAACCTTGCAATAAAGTTGACGATAATTTATGTGCAGTTTGTCACTCTGATTAGATCAACTCCTAACTCTTGTTTTGATGTGTTTTTCCTGGTAACATCTCCCAGATTTGGTCTCCTCTCTCAGATCTGTGGAGGCGTTGGTTGCTCAGATGCTCTCAGCGGGGTGCAAGCTTGTAAATGTGGGAATCATTCTCATACACGCAGAACTCGAGCCTTCAAACCTCAACAAATCTCAGACCAAAGAGAAAACCCCGAGACTCCACTGGGGAAATGTGTGATTCCCAAATTCCTGGTGATGTTTGGGAAAGCAGAAAAGACACACTTCAGATAGATGTAGACTTAACTGTTCCCAAGGGAAATTTCTCTCATTCAGACCCAAATAAGGACTAAACCAGGACTAAACAAGGTCTAAACGGGACTAAATCAGGACAAAACTAGGACTAAACCAGGATTTAACCAGGACAAAACCAGGACTAAGCCAGGACTAAACTAGGACCAAACCAGGACTAAACCAATGTTTATGTGAGTGGAGGTAAAGAGAGAGACAGAGGAAGAGAGAGGAGGGATGGAGGTAAAGAGAGAGGAAGAGAGGAGGGCTGGAGGTAAAGAGAGAGAGAGAGGAAGAGAGAGGATGGAGGTAAAGAGAGAGAGGAGGGGTGGAGGTAAAGAGAGAGACAGAGGAAGAGAGAGGAGGGATGGAGGTAAAGAGAGAGAGAGAAAGAGAGAGGAGGAATGGAGGTAAAGAGAGAGAGAGGGAGAGAGAGAGAGAGGAATGGAGGTAAAGAGAGAGGAGGGGTGGAGGTAAAGAGAGAGAGAGAAAGAGAGAGGAAGAATAGAGGTAAAGAGAGAGAGAGAAAGAGGAGGAGAGAGGAGGGGTGGAGCTATAGAGAGAGAGTAGGGTGGAGGTAAAGAGAGATGAAGAAAGAAGAAGAGAGAGGAGGGGTGAAGGTAAAGAGGGAAAGAGTAAGAGAGAGGAGAAATGGATGCAAAGAGAAGGAGAGGAAAAAGAAGAGAGAATGAAAAAGAGGAAGAGAGGAGGAATGGAGGTAAAGAGAGGGAGAAAGAAAGAAGAAGAGAGAGGAGGAATGGAGGTAAAGAGAGAGAGAGAAAGAGGAAGGGCGAGGAGGGGTGGAGGTAAAGAGAGAGAAAGAAAGAGGAAGAGAGAGGAGGGGTGGAGGTAAAGAGATAAAGAGGAAGAAAGAGGAGGAATAGAGATAGAGAGAGAGAGAGAGAGAAAGAAAGAGGAAGAGAGAGGAGGGGTGGAGGCAAAGAGTGAGAGAGGAAAAGAGAGGAGTGGTGAAGGTAAAGAGAGAGAGCACGAGCAATATAATAAATTCATTCACATTTTGTTTTCATGGCTTTGGGATTTGTGCAATAAATTAGAGAATAAGAAGACAAAAGGGACTGAAATACAACATATATTCCACTGAGTCATGTCCTTTAATCTGATAGAAGCTGAACAGCGTCAGGGCACAAGGACCGAGCTGTTTTTTGAGCGCTTCGTTTATGCAAATGAGCCATGTGGTTTCTAAGTTTTGTTTCTGTAAAACGTAAACAAATATGCTGAAATCTGTGTGGATAGGGAAGGCTTGCGGACACAGAAACGACGTGTCTGGGCTCAAATCCTTTCCGATACGGTGATATGGTGATTCGTTTCAGTGTGAATGTAAACTTATGCTCCTGTTCTGTGTGTGTGTTTGTGTCACAGGTTCCACAGAGTCCGTGAGCAACGTGTGTCCCCAGAGGAACTGTCAACCTGGTGAGTGTCTTCTTACGGAGGCCGAGAGGCGTCACAACAAACGCAAACGCCGCAACAAATACAAATGCGACGACACAACATAAAGCCACAACACACCAAAAAAAGCCACAACAGAAATGACTGCGGGGACTCTATTTTAATGCAAACGCCGCAACAAATACAAACGCCACAACACAAACACAAATGCCACAACACATTAAAAAGCCACAACACAACAAAAAGCCACAACTGAAGTGACCGCGGGACTCTATTTTCCGACGGACCGAATCAAGCGGCAAGTGAAGAAGAAGAACTACAACGTGAAACGAATAATGATAAAACAATAAATTACTTTTACTTACGTTTCCAGCTTCTCCGTTCCTTTACTTTTCACGTTGTAGTTCTTCTTCTTCACTTGCAGCTTGATCGGTCCGTCAGAAAATAGAGTCCCACGGTCACTTCCGTTGTGGCTTTTTGATGTGTTGTGGCTTTTTAATGTGTTGTGGCTTTTCAATGTGTTGCGGCATTTGCGTTTGTGTTGTGGCGTTTGTATTTGTTGCGGCGTTTGCATTAAAATAGAGTCCCGCGGTCATTTCTGTTGTGGCTTTTTTTGGTGTGTTGTGGCTTTTTGTTGTGTTGTCGCATTTGTATTTGTTGCGGCGTTTGCGTCTGTTGGGACCCCTCTAGTTTTCCGTATTTTCTACTTCTACACACGAAAATATGTGAATGAAAACACTAAAAAAAGCAATGTTTTAGAAAGAGAGCTAGAGGGCCCAACAATGGAGAGAGCAATACAGAGAGAAGAGAAACAGACATGAAGAAAACCTTACGAAAACCACAAAAAATCTTGTCTATTTCCAACTGGCTCTGTCTCTCTATAAACATCAAACACTTTTTACACGTTTTCAAATACAAATTCCCATGTTTTTCCCCAAGGTGACAACCAAAAACCAGAACACAGACACAGATCATTCAGGGGAATTTTGTACGTTAACATTTTTGACACAAGCTCCAGGCAGAATTGCAGCAGTTTCTGTCTCTATTTCCTCCCCACAAAGTTTGACAAATTCATATGATGAGTGGGTATTACGCAAAAGTATTAGTTTTAGTTTTATGCAATGTTCTTGTGTGATGTTATGTAGTACAGTGGTCCCTCGTTTTTTATCGCGGGGGTTACGTTCTAAAAATAACCCACGGTAGGTGAAATCCGCGAAGTAGTCAACTTTATATTTTACAATGATTATATCTGTTTTAAGGCTGTAAAACCCCTCACCACACACTTTATACACTTTTCTCACACAGGACAGTGAGCGTGTTTTCAGGGCTATCAGATGCGCTCTAATGCCTCTAACCCCATTAAAAAAAAATGCAATCCAGAGCGCCCTATACACGAATCCACTCGGGTGTCCCAGCGTGACTTCAGTAAACTACAAAGCCGCACCACCCGCAGCGCACGCAAACACACACGGAGCAGACAGCGACCGCACAACGACAAACACCTGCAGACACACTCATCACTCCACGCCGACGAGGAACAGAACAGAGGAACAAACTGAAAAAACTGAGTCACTGCGAACACGCCAACAATCCGTTGGTCCCAGACAGCACCCTCCCTACACACCACAACTGAACAAAGCCCAGAGTCACCGTGAACGCCACAAACAAAGTCCCACTGACCCATCCAACTGTTGTGTTTCATATAAAGTCCGGTGCAGTTTATTTGTGAAAAAAGTTCGAAAATAGACTATCTAATGATAGTGCGTCTTATAATCCAGAGCGCCTAATAGCCCGTAAAATACGGTACAACCTTTTTTGCATCCTTCTTAAAAGGTATTGTTGCTGTCGTCCTTATGTTATTTTGGAGCCCTACAGTGCAGAGTCCTGCACGGGTCCATTTTTGGAGACCCACACCCAGTACAACACCGCACCCGCGCAGTACAGCACTGCACCCACCCGTTAACCTGAAATTATATCAAACATTTGTGCTGCATTCGCCAGGGACTGAACCAAGACTAACCCAGGACTAACCTAGGACTGATTCTAGGACTGAAGAGGAGGACTAAACCAAGACTGAACTAGGAATAAAACAGGACTAAAACAGGACTAAACCAGAACTGAAACAGGACTCACTGTTGGGACGGGCTTGGAGGTGACCGCAGGAGAAAGGACCTGTGTAGAGCTCCGCACCTCGCGAAAGTAAACGCGACAATTGCCCGATTGCACTTTGCAGACAAACTGCTCGGCGTCCTCTCTCTTAAGTCCAAGATTAGTCCTGGTTTAGACCTGGTTTAGTCCTGACCCACCCGTGTGTACTTACTACTTGCCCATAATACGCAATATGTGTTCATACGCTGTAAAAAAAGCACGCACAATTGCACTAAAAAACAGCGAGACTGCGAAAGGTGAACCACGAAATAGCGAGGGACGACTGCACCTGAAAATCGCAGAGGCCCCTGGAAGCTGCACAAATTGACTGAGACGTTTTTGACTAGAAAGCTGCAAATGTACCTAGATTACACAGTAGGCAACGCTATGAAAACACCAAGTACACGGTATTAATTGTAAGTACTTTAAGTGATTTGTGCGTACTGAGCCGTGACAGTATGTGTGTAAGCCGGGCCCTGTGGTTTACGAGGATTAAGCGCTTTTCGAGCACACATAAACTTCATTTGAGTTTGTTGTTGAGTGAGTTGTTGAGTTGTTGGGCAAACACATGCGACTGTTGCGGTTCGGTTTGGAATCTCGGGGCTGGGCTTGTTCAAACCTGACTAATGGGTTTACTTAAGCCCGACTGCTGCAGGGAGCTCAGAGCAGCTTTATCTCCCTCTACTCTATTTCTTCTCACTTTCTCGCTTCTTTCTCTGTCTCTCTCTACTCCCTCTCTTTATTTCCTCTCACTTCCTTTACTCTTTTTTTTCCCTTGCTATTCTGTCTACTCTGTCTCACTCTACTATCCCTCTTTATCTCTCTCTCTCTTACTTTCTCTTCTCTCTGCTTCTTCTCTCTCTTCTTTCTCTACTCCCTCTCTTAATCTCACTCTCTTCTCTTTTTCTACTCAGTCTCTTTATCGCTCGCTTTCTTCTCTCTACTCTCATTCTTTATCTCTCTGTCTCTCTCTACTCCCTCTCTTTATCCCTCTCTCTCTCTTCTCTTTCTCTCTACTCCATCTCTTTATCTCTCTCTCTTGCTCTCTCTTCATCTCTCTTACTCCCACTACTCTCTTTCTCCTCTCTACTCTCTCTCTTTTTGTCTCCCTCTACTTTCTCTACTCCCTCTCTTTATCTCTCTCTATCTTACTTTCTCTTCTCTCTACTCTCTCTTCCTCTCTCTACTCTATCTCTTTATCTTTTTCTCTTTCTCTCACTCTCTCTTTCTCTACTCAATCTCTTTCTCTATTTTTCTTTCTTCTGCCTCTCTCTCTTACTCTCTCTTCTCCATCTCTTTATCTCTCTCACTCCCACTACTCTCTTTCTTCTCTCTACTCTTTCTTCTCTCTCTACTCTCTTTCTTTTTGTCTCCCTCTCTCTTTGTCTACTCCCTCTCTTCCTCTCTCTCTCTACTCCATCTCTTTATCTCTCTTTCTTCTCTCTACTCTCACTCTCTTTCTCTCTCTCTACTCCATCTCTTTATCTCTTTCTCTCACTCCCACTACTGTCTTTCTTCTCTTTACTCTCTCTTCTCTCTCTTTCTCTCTACTGTCTCACTTTCTCTCTCTACTCTCTGCATTTCTCTCTTTCTGACAGTCACTCTCTTTTCTCTCTACCCCCTCTCTTTCTCTGTACTCTCTCTCTCACTTATCTCTCTATATATACACTCTTTCTCTCTCTTTCTCCCTCTGCTCCTCGTGGCTAAAAGTCTCTTTCTTCTCTACTCTGTCTTCTTTCTCTAATATCTCGCTTTAAGCACATGTGAGGCTCTTTTGAACGTCTTGTTTTTCCAGTTATAAGCGAGACATCGATCAAAAAAAACATAGAGTTTAATACTACTCTGAAAGCTGCCACGTTCCAAATAGGAAGTGAGCGTGGGCGGGCTTCTGGCTCCATCCACTCTGATTGACTTTCCATTGAAAAAACATTACCCTTCTCTCTGTAACTGCTACTGTCAGTCTCATTATTTTGGTCTTTAAACTGCTCTACGTGATCCTGGGTGTTTATTTAGCTTTATTAATCCCTAAATCAAGATATGAGCATTAATAACACACCAATTGTCAGTGTTTTTCATCTTCAACAATTTCAACATCAGCTTTAGGAGGTACTTGTATTCGCTTTCCTTACGCTACTTGTTGACCTTGTGTTGTCTTTTTGTTTCAGAAAAGCTTTGGTCTGAAGTCCTCGAACGCAGCCTCCTCTCTCTACTCTTCATCCCTCTGTTAGCCATCATCTTCCTCCTCATATGGAAGGTACATCAACTTTTGTATTTTTTCCATAACTTCAGGAGGTAGTTGGATTAATACTATGGGTTTTTTTGTGTCAGATGGAGGGAGTATATAACTCTATGGGAGATAAATTGTTTTTTTTGAAAGAAATCTTCAAACTTATGATTCACAAATGATGAACCTTCTCATTGGCCACATTTACATGAAGTTTTTTTATTTCCGAATTAATTGTTCTGAAATTAAATACTTCAGAATTAAAATATTCTCCTTCGAATTTACATGGAAATAATAATTCTGAATTAATTACAAACATATTTACGTTGATTGGAAGAAAACACACAGTTAAGCTGCTACCGGCTTTTTTGTCATTTCGGTTTGTCATTACACCACAGACACATGGACACGGCTGCTCAGTTCACTCCCGCATCCCGCAAATCCAAAAAGCAGTGGATGAAAGTCCGAAGCCAGGACTGGTGGAGCTGGATCGTCCGGGTCACATCAGAAGGGCGACCCAACCAGCATGCACTGAACGACCACAAGTACATTTAAAAAGAATAAACGTTAACATGATCAAGGAATAAATTAATTCAGCTTTAAAATCAGAATAAACCACCCACTTGCTTTGGAATTAAGATTTCGAATAATCATTTTCATTAGGAATTAAGTGTCTTTTCAGAATTAAATTATTTTTATTCAGAGTAGCCGCGGGGTCTTAAAAGTCTTAAAAAAATTTTAAATTTCATGTTCCTAAAATAAGGCTTTAAAAAGTCTTAAATTATGTTGTCCAAGTCTTATTTTTTTCACAAAGGTCTTACATTTCATTAGCCTGTTTTTTGTATGCTCAATCGGGCTGCAGTGCAATGTTAAATGGAGGGAGGTAAAAAAAAAAATAACAACATGAAATCACTTAATGTGAATAAACTTCTAATATGGAGTATGCGCAAACAATACTTTGGTTTCTAGCTCTGACGGCAATGAGTAAACAATCAGTAGAGTGGAGGAAGACGCTGGCTGGATCATGTGGAAGTGCAGGTTTAATCCATAGTGGCTCTTAGATTGTAGATATAGTACCGTAGTTGGCTGGTCATTATTAGAATTGGATCTGGAGCTTTTCGCCTGCATAATGGGTGCGATGTTGGTCTTAATTTTCATGTGAGTGTTCTTATAAAAAGTCTTAAATTTGGAGTTGTCAAACCTGGTGATACCCTGTTAAAGCTCTCATGTAAACATGGCATTTATTTGCTTGGGATTGGCTCCACAAACCTGTCATATTAATCACATGGCTAAAAGTCCTTTCATCTGACAGCAATCACATCTTTGAGGTTGAATAACGGCACCACTTTCTGAAGCTATTATGAAAAATTAACTTGTTCATTTGCACGAACAGAGAGGACACTGAACTTTGCGCTAGTTTCATGTGGATAGGCCCAGTAACTCCAGAGATATGAACCATAAACCAGGTCATCTTCAGTCTGACAGATAAAGAGTAAACTCCACTTGAGAATTCTGACCTCCAGCTCAGTCCTGATACTCTTGATACTTGATACTTCTACATATACCTCTAATGGTGGAATTTAAACAGCACATTTTCAGGAGCCTGTGATCAATACAAGCGTTCATGGTTATGTTGATAATGTCTGCAAATAGGGATTCTATAATGTGCTGATGTCACGTAACCGAACACATTTCTATCAGTGTTCCACAAATTATTAACTCCAAACACATTGAGGATACTGAATGTAAAAGTGTAACCTGTATTGTGTTTCAGCTGCGGTCTCGGAGGAGCTTGGAGGATCGGGACCAGGCTCGGGCTGAAGATGGACTCTTCTCAGGAGCAGAAGGGGGCGCTGCTCCGCTAGACGCCAACGTGTCTGAAACGTAAGAGCAAGAGCCGCCGTCCCAAAGCGAAAGGCGCTGTACCCGAATTTTACTGTCTTCAGCTTTAAAGAATGAAAATCACGATGGGTTTATGAGCATTTTTCACTGCTGTCAGAGACCAGAGCGGAGTTTTACAGTGATGGACGAAAAACAATAGCATGCCAACAGTGCACTTTTCGCTTTATAATTACATGCAGGCAGCACACAGCGGTTTAATTTTAACTTCAAGAGCTGCTTATACAATATATCTGTACTGGGGCAACAACAAGACACTTTTACTACAAGAAAATACTTTACTGACACTTTAAAGATACACTATAGAGCAGTGCTTTTCAATTATTTTCTGTCATGCCCCCCAAAGAAGAAGAAAACATTTTGCGCTCCTCCACTCTCCACTGCGACTATAAATACTATCATTTGTATCCTCAAAGTGGGATGATTGTTGGCAATATTCGGCACGTTTTCACTGAAAAACTCAAGCGGGTTATCAGCATGACTGGGGTGTAATATCTTTAAGTGACGCCCTAATTTATTTGGCTTCATGCTGTCCACTGCCAACGTTTTTAGACGCAGTAAACACGCGGCTCTTTCCTCGTTTCCCACTGTACTCACAGTGAAGCCGAGCGCTACACACGGTTTGACATGTTTCCTCGTCTTAGCTTTTGGAAGACTCGTTTGTTTCATTATCTCCATCTTTCTCTGCCTTTCTTTTCATCCCTGTTAAATATTTTTTCCAAAAACCCGACACTATACCGCCAACTAGTGTAGTGGATGTGCAATTACACTTTATTCTAGTACATCAAAAAAATAAAAATAAAAATACAGCATCACACCTGCTATTTGAGAAGAACTGCTGTAGAGTCTGTCTCCCTGATGTATCACAGAATGGCATTATTTGTGAAATTGTGGGTGTTTTATTGCTCAAAAATACAGTGCTGTACCTTTGTTTATTCTTTTTCTCCTCCACAGAAACCAGCTAACCGTGGAGACGGTGTAAAGCTACTCTTCATCGGCCACAAACTGGTACGATTCCGATTCTACTCTTTATTCTACAAATAATTCTTGATGAGTTTTTTCAACAAATTTTCCCAGTATTTATCAATATATAGTATCATCTGCATGTTTTTGAGTCATAGATATTGGTACGTTTTTTTTTTGTTTTTTGTTTTAAACTGTTCTTTACTTTATTGACAATTCCAAAAGTATCAAATAATTTCATTCACTCAACTAAAACCAGTTTATACACCCAACAAAGACTGCACTAGCACTAATCCATCATTTTCTGCAAGTGCTCCGGTTTAGGTAGTGACCATTCAGATCAGAGAGGCAATTTAGGTTTAAAACAACTGGATTTCAGGAGTGACACTTATGTGAGGCTCATTCTGCTTTCTGATAATAAACATCTTTAGAACCAAAATATCAAATTACAATATAGTCATGTCCACTGTTTTTGTAATTAAGGATAAACCAGTTTTAATTGTAATGAGAAAATGTGTTCACCTCATACTTGGGGACACAGAAGGGCTGCACGATACTGTGAAAATATTGAATTTGCTATTTTTTCTGACTGAAGCATTACAATTTTGATTTTTATTTAACCCATGTAGACCAACAGACATGTTTTACATAACCGTGCATAACTTGCCAACCATAAAAAGCAGAAACTTAATATTTCCCTTCAAAAGCTGAGAGTTGTGGCTTTCTGAGCATATTTCCGGCATTATCCTACATCACACGGACGCTGCGTGATGACATAGGTTAAAACAAATGTCCAATAGGAACTTTTGTTTTCTGCCAAATGCATGAGCATCCATCCATTTTGATTGGCCCAAACTTTGGCCAAGATTGTAGTGAGTCAAAATGGTCGACTGTTCTGAGCATCTGTATTTGTAACAATTGAAAAAGTCGCTCTAAGTGCAGTTATTTCTCAAATAAATGGCAAATTATGCATCTTGGTCTGTGTAATTACACATCCCTTGTTATTTTTATTTGAAAAGTTTATTTCAGTCAAAATGTCCAAATCCAAATGTAATAAACCCCATGAAAATGCAGGAAGTGATGTGGCTCTGTGCCCTGGACCTGATACAAGCTGTTTCCATAACTAGCACCTGGAAAGTAAAAGGGAAATTTTACTTTTTTTTGTTTTGTTTTGAGGCAATAAGGATACTTTTACTTTAATTACAAACTTGCAATTTTGCACTTTTCTAGGTAAGGCTCTAAATGATTTTTTTTTATGTCCAAAAAAGTTTTTCATACATGTTTGCTGTGTGTTTTGTATGAAAGAGTGTGAATTTAATTTTCTGATTATTATTTTTTGTTATTTTTTTTCATTTGTATTTCTGGTCCTATAGTTTTCATTACAGCCATATGACACAACTACAGCAGCAGACTGTGAAATAACAGGTTGTACTGAAAAAAAGGATGTGTAACACTTCATTAGTGGAAGTTTTAAAAGTGAAATTAAAAAAAAAAATCCAGGCGATTGATCTTGATAATTGATCTTAGGTCTGGAAGGGCTAATAATTCTAGTCTGCAGTTCAAAGTTCACATTTTAAACACATCCAGAAGATTTGACAAAAAGACTGCATGTTTGTGCAGATCTAAACTACAGGATTAGCCATTGTTATGAAAAATAAGACAGGAGATTTGTTGTTTTATCTTGAAAACAATGCTACTAAAAATTGCAGCTTTTGCGATCTCCTAATTTCATGCATTCAAATTCTGATTTAAGTGTAAGTGTAAGTAAGTTAACATTTAAGTGTGCTTCAGCCCTGACTCTGTTCTGTTTTCCCACAGGGCCGTGCGGTTTTCTCGCGTTGACGTCGGAGTTGTCTCGCAGGAGCAGAATCCACACCACGGCGTGAACTTTCCAGACGCTTCAACCTGGACGAACTTTTCCCCCAAAAAACACGCGTCGGTGCGGATCTCTCACCATTTCAAACTCCAAACTCGACCTCTGCTTTGCCTGTGTCACCCAGCAACAAAACTATCTTCAAAATGCGTGGCTGTCTTCTCTGCCTTTCTATCCAAGACTGCGTTAAACCCCCACAAAGACTGAACTAAAGAGAGTTTCTGCAAAGAGAGAACACGAGAGCTAACCCTTTTATTGGTTTTCAAACGTCCAACTTTACAAAAAATGGCTTCTCCTTCCGTACAGGATTCAAGATGGCATCCTTCTTCTTGCTACGAACCTGCCGCGTTTTCAACCATCAGAAAGTGACTGAATTTTTGAATTGAAATCGGGCAGGGTCCACTACCTTCTTCACTACCTCCGCTTCTTCACCTGTCCAATTTTTTTCCACGAAATAAATTGTGTTTTGGAGTTTCTCTCAAAGTTTTTGTTCCATTGGGGTGTACGATGTATTTATTTATTAATGGCGATGTAAAAATAAGTTGTCATTTTTAAGCGCGAGCACCTTCTTCTAATGGTCACAGTTACAGTTGTATTCGAACACAGCGCGAGAGGTTTTTTTGTTTTTAAGTTTTTATGAATGGGTTTCATTAGTTTGACCAAAGTATGCTGCTTTTCTGATCATTATCCATAGACTTTTCACCAAGAGGAGCTGCCGGATTCAAGTCCTGTACAAGGTTTTTCAGGGTGACAGAAAATTGAATACATTTGAAAAAGAAAGAAAAGAGAAAAGGAAGAAAATCTGAAGGAAAAGATCAAAAGTACAAGCACAGAAGTTAACAGCAAATGAAAACGTTTTTTGCAAATCTGCCCAGTTCGATATTTTAACTCCGGTTTAGTTTGAGACTGAACTGTACGTTTTAATCTCATAATTCCTGAACAGCACAAATCAAATAATTATAATGATACTTTACAGCGTTTCATCAACATTCCGTGGGGGTGTGATGTTAACTGAAGGCACTGCTGTGTCTGAAAGTTAAGTTGGGCTACGTTCAGACTGTTGGGCTTAAAGCTCAATTCGGATTTTTTGTCTGATTTTTTTGCGAGGTCGTTCAAATTTCTAATTAAATGCGACTTGTGTGTGAACTTTAAATGCCCCAAAAGTGTCCCGCAAGGAAGTCGCCTAAATTCTGGGCTTGTCTCTCAAGATACGGTCCACTTCTTCGTAAACTGGACAGGTTACACGTCCACGGCCGCTTTGTTTGTTTGAGTCTTTAGCCTCCTTGTATTTGGCTCACAGGCTCTTTATTTTTCATTGATATCGAAGCCAGGACCACTGGTAGCCGCGCTCAGACATTTCTTTGGCAATCATTTCAAAAACCGCCCAGTTCTGATAAGACCCCTCCAATTTGGCCTGAACACAGCGATCCCCTCAAATTTGAATTCACTCGCTAACCTCGCTTTCCCTCCATTGACTAGACTCCGAGCCTGACGTGTAGGTGGGATGAATGTGACCTGGCCGTTCAGACTGAAGTCACATGTCAAAAGACCAGATATGTATCGGTTTTAGGAGCACATATCCAAGTGGCCTGGGTCACATTTGAAAAAATTGGATCTGTGTCGTTCAGCCTGTCATTAAAAGACCAGAGATCACATAGGGGTGAAAAAATCATATTTTTGTCACTTAAGGCTACAGTCTAAACGTAGCCTAAAACGACTCCTTTTCAGTTAGTCATTCTCACCTTTTTGTTGAAAACCAAACACTAGTGATGGGCGAATAGAGCCTCGTGAAGCATTGACACCTCAGTCGCAATATTGTCTCAAATGGTTTGACGTGTTTGAGGCCTTGGAGAAACACTGACCTCTAGTGGACAAATTTAACCATTGGCACGCAGGTGTCTCAGCATCGATGAAGTATTGTTAGTGTAAGACAATACTTGTGTGCAGAGCAAACACCGTACCTAACAACAACAATAATAATGATGATTTAAAATAATATGTAAAGAGCAACATAAATAGCAGCTGTAAATAAGAAAATCGGTTACATTGTTAGGTGGAATTAGGTCAAAGTGATCCCACTCCATGGATCGCTTTTGTAGATGCCATCAAAAATGAAACAAATGCCAAAAGTCACCAAAATCCCCACTAACGTCACACAATACTCCTCACTACCCAACATTTTTAAGAAATATTGGTGCATCTTTTATACTGTAGCAGTTTCGCGCTTGTCAAACCACGGAAGTGCCCTGAACACTCTGAACGCTCTGAACCAATCGCAGAGCGGAACATTCCCTGAGCCAATGAAACGCTTCGATACACTGAAGCGATTGACACGCAGAGCGAAGCAGCAGGGGGAGGGACCGACACTTCCACACTTTGGTCACGTGAGCGGCTGCTGCGAGACGAGCTCCGAGGCAGTGCTTCGGAGCAATTTGTTTCAGGAAGATGGAGACGTGCTCCGGAGCTCCGTCTCATTTGCCCGTCACTACCAAACACTTAAATCCATTTTGAGTTTGCAGATTATCTTAAAACTTTTTAGCTTTGTTTGTTAATGTGTGAATTGTGTCACCATTTCATAACTCTAGACCAGACCAATATCAATAGATTGAGAGAATATGTCCAGTGCCGTCTACTTGGGTCCTTTCTCTTTACATGGTCTCCCTTTGTCTGAGTGGGTAAAATGCAGTGGAAACATTTAAAAGGTTCCATACCATATTTTACTTTTAATGTCTTAAAAAGAAAATGCTAAAAACACAACTAGTTTGCAGTGGTCCATGGTTACGTTAACAAAAACTAGCATGCTAACAGCGCCCAGCCTTGCTTCCTGGTTCACGGAGGATAAATACGCTTTACAATGAGATGCAGACGAGTAAACAGTAGTCTCATTTTTACCGTCCTTTTACGACAAAAACAATTTAAAATCTGATACGTCTCCTTTAAATCAACATTATACCTTTATTATTTTATTTTTAAAAATCCCTGAAAAACCCTGAAAAGACTTGAATCGTGTTTTTGTGAAATCTGTCCATGACTTCGGCGGCCTCAACATGCCTTTTACTTCCTTTTTCTCTTTTTTTTGTACTTGTGCGGATGGCAAAACTGTTGGTTGTCATTTTGAAACTTAATATGAAAAAAATGTAAAAAAGAGAGAGTATAAAACCAAATAGCATTAAATAAATAAATAAATAAATCATATAGAGTTATTTTTAAATGAAGTGACTGCTTTATTTATGGAGCTTTCGGAGGGCCGTTACTTTGGGGCGGTTTGTTTGTTGGCTCGTTTTTTGGGGGGTTTTTTTTTGGGACAATCTGACACATTAGTTAGTGCTTTAACAGAGAATAAACACCATAACGAAAAAGCTAAAAATTTAAATGTAATCAAAGTTTAAAGACCCATTGTGTAACTTTTTTGTGGTGGAGGGTCATCCGCTTGTCTCCATGGAGATGTTTTGCCATGTCATTAAACTGTTCAATCTTTCATTTATTCAATTATGAGTGTTTTAATCGGACCCAAATAAACCTTGAAACACATTCAATCTTAATGTAAGCAAGCTTGCATTACCATGGATCTGGCCTGGTTGCGTCTCCATGGAGATAAGTTTAAAGGACCCACAGTATATTATGTAAAATGGACTCCTGTGAGCTTTTAGGCATGTTTTAATATTGTTACTTCATCTAAAACATACCTGGAGTTGTGTTTTGTTTCATTCACACATGAGTAATCCATTATTATTAGTTTGTCTACATCTCCAAAGTTAAAAATGCTCTGTTCCACCTTGTGATGTCATGCAGAGGTAGTTTTCCAATAAATAGCTCCTTTTACCTTTAGTTCAGTAGAGATTGACAATTCCAGAGCTGAAATCCTCCAAATGATTCTAGTGAAGGTACATGGAGTAAATGTAAAAATACAGTTGATGACTTCTTGTATCACCACATGACATCACAAAGTGGAACAGTGTGTTTCTGGTTTGAGAGAAGAAGTTAGCCTAAATAAGCAGGGTTTGTGCGTTAAACATGTGTGAATGAAACAAAACACAACTCCAGGTCTGTTTGTGATAAGGAAACAACATTGGAATATAGACCACAAAATATTGGCCCTTTAATGCCACAGTTATGCAACATTTCAAACAAACTATAGTATTTTTGGCCATCTAAATAAAGGCCTTTTAACTATATTTTTCCTCATGCAATTTTGACTTCTTTGGAGTGCCTGGATTCCTTTGTGTTTAAAACTATAGCATCTGTATGGAGAAGATGAAGAAGGTGATGGACTCTCCACCAGAAAAGTTACACAGTACAACTTTAAATGCAAACCAAACATGAGGGATAGTCGGCCATATCGGCATGAAACATTTTATATCAAATTACATGTTTGACAGTAGTGTATTGGTTGAGCATTCACTGATCAACAAGACGGTCATAGGTTCAAACGTTGCACATGCTTTTGTTGTGTCCCTGAGCAGGACACTTCACCCACATTATTTACTTCTATGATGGGAAGGGCATCTGGCAACCTGTGACAAAATTCTAAATCAGATCAGCAGACGTATTTGACTAGCTAAAAACAGCATGTTAACAGCGCAATTCCTGAGTATAGGACTTATTTTGATCTAAATATATACTGTATGTATTGGGGCAAGCATTTGATCCAAGACATAGGATAAATTTAGTGATGGTCACACTAGCGTAGCACTCAACCATTCACACACACACACACATACACAGACACTAGGGCGAGGTGGGTTTATGTGTCTTGCCCAAGCGCACAATAACAGTTTTTTACTCATGGAAGCTGAACTCAAACCAGCCTGTGGGCCAGTGGATCTGACCACTTTACCGTTGATGATTATGTCAGAACAGGGGGCTGATCCTTCATCAGAAAAGTTACATAATGCACCTTTAAATTAAAAACATGATTGACAGAAATACTTTTTTACAATGTACTTATTTCTGCAGTTGAGTAGGATTGATATTGATGGATACATGGATCAGTGAACTGCTTCTACACTCAAACTAGGAAGACAACACTGCAAACAAAAAAACAAAAAAGAAAGAAAAAATGCATTGTTTATTTCTGACAGGTTTCAAAATATTCATTTATATATTTATTTCAGATTGTGGAAATAATTTAACATGATATTTTTGGTTGAATTTAAAAAGTATGAAGATATATTCAAATGAAATGTTCAAACAAAAAATGAATTTTTATTAAAATAAATTAATCTGAGCTGCTCAAAACATGCATTTTCTTTCTTTTTCTTTTAAATCTAGATTGGTACAAATAATAATAATTTTTAAAAAAAGTAGAACTGTAACTGCTGCTGTCAGGCTCCTCATGTTGGTCTTAAAATGTTCCTATTAACTTGCTCTACATGATCCTGGAGTTTTTATTTAGCTATTTTTCTCGGCTAGAAATTTGCCCAATAACAACCAGCACCAATGAGCTTCATTTGACTGGAGCCGAACGCTGTGGGTGACGTCACACTCCCTTGGTCCACTTCTTTATACAGTCTATGGGATCAACCTTCTTCTTAAAATTTCCTTCAGTATTTCAAAGGAAGTTACTGCCCAAGTTTCAGTAGTCAAAATGTACAAATGTTGGAGTTTAGAAGTCAAATATGCATGACATTTTCATACTTCTTTTAGGTAATTTTTAGGGGTTTGTATTGGTATTATTTTCACATTTATTAGGTTAAAGGTGCATTGTGTAACTTTTCTGGTGGAGGCTTTTCTCTCTGGAGATGTTATTGCTTTGTCTAAAATGTTTCAGTACATTAAGCCTTTCCATCATCACTGAGACCAAACCAGGCCAAAATACAGGTCTGTGGAGTGGCGACCCCGCTCACAGTCAGAATGTTTTTGTAGATATTTTTGAACTATAAAACCACCTGTAACTAAATACATGTAAGATAAGTAGAGCTGTTTAATGTCATACTGTGGAACATTCCAAATAGAGCAGTGACCATAGAAACAGAAGGTGACGAACCCCTTCACTGTAACAAAACAAAGACTAGCCAAGTGAAAGTTTTACCATGATTTGAATAAATTTCACTTGACAAGTAAAATTTTCTGCCAGCGGAACAAGACTTTTTGTACTTAAAATATGAAAATAAATCCTTCTACACTTAAAATAAGAAACAAAATCTAATATTGCTTGAAATAAGAAAAACGCACTTATTACACTGGTAGATAACTTTACTTATCAAGTCGAATCTACTGAAATAAACTAAAAGGTTTTTAATTGAATTCATTTTAATTTAAGTAGATATTGTTTTTTCCAGTGTTGACGAAAAGTTACATAGTGCAAATTTAAAAAGCACAATGGAATCCCAAGTTAGAGGTTTTTTTTTTTTTTCTTTTTTCCCCTATTTTCTAACAACAACGTTCAAAATGGCATTCCGATCTAAACGGTGAACTAAAAGAAAATGGCCTTGTCCTTTGTGATCAACCTTGAACAGATGGCGTGAATGACCGCCCTCGGCTCTGCTCGTGTGGACAGTGGGTTTGGACCTGACGGATCCAAGAATCCTCCGCCCACTGGACTGACTCTGCAGAAACTCTACTCTAACCTGTATTTTTGTACAAATGTAAACAGCATTTACCAACCATAAATAAACTACAAAAATGATACCTCATCTTTACTGCTTTCATTTGGTCCAAAGTTTGTCATTTTAGTGAAATATGGGGCGGGCAGGGGCTTAGAGAAGTAGTAAGTGGAGAGGGAGGCCATGTGGCATGTGGAGAAAGTGGTGGTAGTAGTAGTTATAGTAATGGTAGTAGTAGAGCTAATGTGGTGGTAGTAGTAGTAGTAGTCATAATGGTAGTTGTAGGATAAGAAGTAATAGTACAGGTAGTGGTGGTAGTGGTAGTAGTAGTAATGGTAGTAGTAGGATAATAAGTAAACGTACAGGTAGTGGTGGTAGTGGTAGGCTGAGAAGTAGTAGTAGAAATAGTGGTAGTACTAGCAGTGGTAGTAGTTGCTGTTGTAATGGTAGTAGTAGTAGTAGTAATGGTAATGGTAATGGTAGGATAAGAAGTAATAGTAGAGGTAGTGGTGGTAGTAGCAGTAGTTGTTGTTGCTGTTGTAGTAATGGTAGTAGGATGAGACGTAGTTGTAAAAGTAATATGGGGGTAGTAGGTAGTAGTGTAGCAGTAGTAGTAGTAGTTGTTGTTGTTGTAGTCATGGTTGTAGTAGTAGGATGATATGTAGTAGTAGTAAGTAGTATGTAGTAAAGTAGTAGGTAGTGTAGTAGTAGTAGTAGTAGCAGTAGTAGTAGTAATGATAGTAGTAAGATGAGAAGCAGTAGCAAAAGTAATGTGCTGGCACTAGAAGCAGTAGGATGAGAAGTAGTAGTAGAGGTAATGTGTTGGTAGTCGTAGTAGTAGTAGTAGTAGTAGTAGTAATGGTAGTAGTAGAATAAGAGGTAGTGGAAGTAGTAGCAGTAGTAGTAATAGTAGTAGTAGTAGTAGTAATGGTAGTAGTAGAATACGAGGTAATGGTGGTAGTGATAGTAGTAGTAATAGTAGTAGTAGGATGAGAAGTAGTAGTGGAAGTAGTGGTAGTAGTGGCAGTAGTAGTAGTTGTTGTTGTTGTAGTCATGGTTGTAGTAGGATGATATGTAGTAGTAGAAGTAATGTGTTGGTAGTGTAGTAGTAGTAGTAGTAGTGGTAGTAATGGTAGTAGTAGGATGGGAAGTTGTAGTAGAGGTAATGTAGTGGCAGGAGTAGCAGCAGCAGCAGTAGTAGTAGTAGTAGTAGTAATGATAGTAGTAAGATGAGAAGCAGTAGCAAAGGTAATGTGCTGGCAGTAGTAGCAGTAGGATGAGAAGTAGTAGTAGAGGTAATGTGTTGGTAGTCGTAGTAGTAGTAGTAGTAGTAGTAGTAGTAGTAGTAGTAGTAGTAGTAGTAGTAGTAGTAGAGGTTGTACTAGTAGCATGTGTCAGAACATGTCCCCCAGCACAGTAGAACACTTCAAAGTAAATCCAGTCATTAGCATTAGCGTGGAGCCTCCCTCCCAGCACACTTCAGGAGCCTTCACACTGCGTGCTTCAGATGTTTCATGAGCAGATGTTATCTCTGACTGACATGAGAACATTTCCTGTCTTCAGAGGTGGGCCCTCCATCAACATTTTGGATTTCTGGGTTTTGTCTTGGTGCCAAACTTAATCACAGAGCAGTGATTCTTCTGCAGATAGTTCACAAGCATGGAAC